AATATTATTAGGGAGTAGATCAATAAATAATAAACCTGGTTATTATTTAATTACTCCATTAGAGAGAAAAGATGATGGGTAAATAAGTAAAATTATTAATTCAACATTTAATTCATAGAAACTAAGAAGCTTTATTATACTAGTACAACAATATTAGTAAACAGAGGTTGGATTTCTAAAGATAAAGTCAACCCTAAAACAAGACCACTTTCACAAGTTAATTTATTGATTAATTGATTAATCATCAAATTGAAAATGATAATTGTATTAAATATTTATAATGACAATTAAAAAAATTTTAATTTGTTATTATAGACAAATGATATAGTCACAATTAAAGGAATATTAAAAAAACCTGAGAAGGTAAGAAATAATATATATGTAAATATTATTATTTTTATAAATATCAATTTTTAAAAATATTTACAAAAATAGAAATATATTTTCATTCCTAAAAATAAACCTGAAAAGAATGAATGGATTTGGAATGATATTGATACAATGGCAGAATCAACTAATGCTCAACCTATAATGATTGAACAAAGTTTAGGTATTTAAAAGGGAGGAAATTTATATTTATGTTTATGTTTACATTGATTTATTAATTAGAAATATGTGTTTTTAGATACATCACCTTTTTTAAAAAATAAGTTAATTGAAGATGGTATTCCAGTTGGTAAAGAGCCTTCAATTGAATTACGAAATACTCATTTACAATATGCAATCACATGGTATTCATTGTCAATTGCAACAACTGTATTATTATATCTTTATATTAAAAAACCTCCATCTGGTTATATTAGACGTAGAGAAATGAAAGGATAGTTATTAAAAAATTTCATTTAGTTCTTGAATCCTTTTTCATCAAAATGAATTGTTAATGTTATACTTATAGAATGTATTTTCTGGAGACTTATCAAAAGATTTCAGGGTTCAAATTTTAGCAACCAGTTATATTAGGTAAACCCAATATAATCACCTGACATTCACTACCTTCAATTCCATGTGCCTTTCCCTTTTTTATAGTTTTGCTTTACTGTTTTTGGGCTTCTTTTTAAGAAGTGAGATTTGGGTTTTAATTCTAAATTAGTTATGTAGTACAAATAGGACTGGTGTCTAAAATTGAAGCATTTGCACACAATATAATTTTAGAGATGTGTACCTCAATTCTTTATTTGGATATGCATTTGCGCACATGAAAATATAAATTTGTTTCTTAGTGTGGAA